ACACCGCATTGAGGCAGTAATTGCTGCAAAAGGGGCCCAAACCAAGTACTGAGTACATATGCATGCTTCTACTTTTCAGAGGTCCGATATTGTTCTATGTACAATCCTTGTTTTTTGATTGCATGTAATATTCTAATTTTCTGAGATTGTGGATTTGGGGTTTTCATGAGCTGTAAGCCATAAACATCACAATTATGACAAATCGCGGCTTGAACTATCTTGCTTTGCATGTAATGAGCCTATCTCATATATTAGTTTCACCTTTTAAGTTGCATTACTGAAATAAATGAACTTTTGCACGATATTCTAATTTTTCAAGTTTCACCTGTATGGCACAGTAAAGTCTTCTTAAACACAAGGTATTCCGATGACCTATCATGTATCCCAAAAGTAAGAGGATTACTCCTCTTTACAGGACAGTAGCTAAAGTGATGCAAATCATTTTTTAATGCCCCAACAAATGCCCATCCCAAACCAGTAATGTATAGTGTAAATATATTATCATCTTATAGATTAATTTATTCCAAACTGAATACAGCTGTTTCAGGCTACTTGACCATCATCAGCGCAGTGTATATAAACCATGACTTCAGTGGAGTAGGACTCAATACGACAGTATAAGGATACATGTTATGGTGAGAAGGGACTAATGGAGCAGAATGATTTGCATGGCTCTCCCCATGGTTTGGAAATGAGAGATACATCTCCTAATTTTAGGGATATGTAATGGAATGAGATGTAAATATCTTGTTTTAGGAAAGAATTAAAATGCTTCACACTGATTTGGTTGAAGGGTTTTAACTTCTTTAGTCCCTTCTTACCAAACCCAGTATGGTTATACTGCCCCCCTCTTCCTTTCAGAGACATGTCTGTGTCATACACTCGATCTACTATGGCTAAAAAACTCCTGTACTTAGCAGAAAAATAGATTTGCAGACAATGAATGGTCTGTGTCGCAGCTGCAATTTATAGCTGTATGGAAAGGAAATGTAAGCAGCTACATACTGTATCACCACAGAAACTAACCAAGAGGCTGTATAGCTTCTACAAAGTTGATTATGTGACATGACACATAAACAATTATAGAACTGTTAGCCAATGTGCCAAAACCTAATAGTGTTTACAGCTGAACAAAATAAGATTTACTGACCTACACTTATGGATGCATCTGAAAACAGAACTGTCTATGTTATCAACAGTAATCTGCAATATTCCAACCTTTACTAGTTGGATGCTTTTAGATTGGAGAATATTTATATGGGCCATGTGCATCCCGTTTTTCTTGCTACGAGTTATAGATATGTCTATAAATATGTGTATACATAAAAACAGCTTATAAACCAGTTTAGTACATCTATTGATTATGTGTAATAGTTACTAATGATTTTTGTCTATATCGACACATGGAATAAGTCAATGATGTAGACTTTTTTTATTGCCTTGGGAAATACTTCTTTAAGAGTCATAAATTGAAGTGGTTGTGAAGCCAAAAGGTTTCCTTCTAGTTTTAGAGATTGGGGAAGGATTAGAACTGTTGGATTTTTACTATTTAGGGCTCCAATAGATATATTTACTTTCTGTCCTGCTGACAGTGATTTCACCAGAAGAGAAATGATGGAAAAATAGGCAACAGGGACATGGGCAGCAATAAAAACTGGACATAGGTTCTAGCCTTCCCCTACTCTACTAAGAAATAGCAGTTTTATATATGTTACTGTTGCAGATATCCCATTACTTTCTGCATGGTAAAATGTTAGCAGGATGGGTAGTGAGGGTAAATCTCTTTAACAGAGCCCCGGATAGCAGTAACAACCTGACAAGGGTACTAATCCTTCCCCTCTCTGACTAAAGATATCTATCCTTATCTGTCACTCAATCTTAGATTTGCAAGGCTGCCACCTGGTCGTCTGTACATATGTTCTTTAAGGTTCTTTGAGTGGCTGTGTAGGCTCTGTTGAACCACCTCTGCTAGTTTGTTGTTTTTGTGGACCTTTTTAGTCTTTGTTTACTCTGTTGCCTACCCCTCAGTTGGACTGCTTTTGAATGTCCCAAATATACCTGAATACTCATCTTATGCCCCATAATGTACAATTTAAGAAAATGGGAATTTTTTTCTTGGAGAGACTTCGACACAAGTTCCCCCTTGTGTTCCACTCCTACTGTTGCTTGCTAACAAAATTGAGGCATGCTGAAAGTTGGGGGATTGTACTGGGCTTTCATTACACTGAGGTGTTACAGCTCCTGTAGACAGCAGATTTTTCCCAATGTACCTAACCACTCCCATGTTCTGTAATGTTCTCCAAAAAAAGGATTTTATGGTAAGTCAAAAATCCTATTTTTTGCTATCACAATTTTTATTCAGCATTTTCAGTTTTCCCAATTCTGCAATGGCATTGCAGGCACAAATTTATGAACGTTAACGTGAAAATATAAAATTCAAGTAGAAGCATCATAGTTGAACAAACAATTACAGAGTGTAAAAAAATAAGGAGGGGGAAATTAGGTGTTTGGTAGGGAAGTATTCACCTGAAGGCTCCAAAATAGGGGTCTCGTGGAGGCTCAACTGCCTCCCCTGAATACACTCCAAGAAGGTCTAACTGGACTGGAGGAAGGTAATAACAAGGGGGACAAGGTGGCCTAAACACTGCACTGTTAATATGTGTTGATCGATAAGCATGTTTTTGGATGTATCTAGATGGGGATTTCTGAACTGCACCTGACTGAATAAAATTGGTAGGGGCTCATGCCATGAAGGAGGTAAGGGGACAGAAAGGGAAAGATTTTGAGAGAGATGATGTGTGAGGTGTAAGTGGTTGGCTAAAGAGAAAGCGAGGAAAAGAAAAAAAAAAAGGTTGTGTGGAAGAATGTTGGAGGAAGACGAATAACAGGCAAAAGTGGAGCTGAGGGACCCAGCGAATGCCAATGGAAAGTGACTGTCCATCGTCTCTTGGAGTCCTGGGGTCATGTTGCCACTCAAGACCTAGTTTAAAATTTGTGAGCCCGAGCATCAGGCTTCAGTTACACAGGACCTGACATTACATTCAGGAATTCCAAAGTGGATTTATAGCATGTCTAGTATGCCCATGTCTTATATTTGGTCAGACTGTTCTGGGCGGAGGGTATAGTTTCTTCTATCCCTCACTCTGTCTAGTCTCGTGAGCCAGTCCCTCAGAGTAAATATCTAGCCACATTAACTATATGCATGGCCAGAGACTGCATGTATTTTTTTAGTTTTTGATAGTGGTGAAGGCCTAGTATCCCTGTCAGGTTTTTACTGCTATCTGGGCTTCCATTGGAGAGACCTTCATTCACGTACTGTCACTCAGGGAAAGTTTCTCCAGACAAAAAAGGAGTGTGAAAATCTGCCATAGGGACACTTACAGCAGTACAAAGCTGAAAAAAGCTAAATAAAAATTGAAGCTAGTGGGGTTTATGTGATTATAAAATACAGTTAGGTTAAAATAGATGTTTATTATCATGTCTAGAAGTCACATTGTACAGTCCTAGGGAAACATTTAAAAAAGCTTAAGATCTCTAGACTATCAAAATATCTGGCAAAGTATATATACGTATATATTTTTACTATATATACTTCTAAGTATGTTAATGTACAAATCTAGACATTAGGTTATGTTGAAATTGCACACAAACTATTGGTTACCTATATTGCCAAAATAACTCCATATAGACAGTATAGTGATAAGATCATAGACTGAACCTGCAAATCCAAATATAAAGCACCACTTTAGAGCACAATACTCAGTGCTTTAGAATGCTTTTATCCTCGAATGTCAATGCAGGTAATTGTAATAAGATATTATTAGAAACACATCTCTACAGAGGCTGAAAACTGAATGTTCAGAAACCATATATTGTTAGCTGCTATCTAGTTATTGTCTCATATATTGTTAGACTCTTGAATAGTAGATTGTCACCAATTTAAAATGTCAAGGTACTTATGTCTGATTATTGCCAATAGCAAATAGTGTTTGTTGCTCATGTAGATTTTCACTCCAAATGATAAAAAAATAGCACAATTCATACATATGTCAGTGTAGTTGTCATATGGATATATCCAAACATGCATTAAAAACACCACTCCATGTGCTTTTCTGCAAGTTTACATATATGGAAGGTCAGTGTACTTTATCATGTGTCCACCTTTTTATGCTCCAAATTGTAACGGCATTCTGGGAGGGCCAGAAGGCTAAATCATTGTGCGGGCCTTGGGTATGCCAGACAGTTAAACTAGCCTATTTCCTATTTAAGGTGGAAGTCCACCACCTATATGCAAATGTTTTTGTAAGCTGCTGCAGTTGGTGGTGGTCTTGAAATCACAAGGCTGCTTATTGTCATTCACAAACCGACACTTCCTGGAGTGTCCATCTCATGTCACCTGCAGCGCTCATTGGTTTCTTCTGCTAACTTCCATAGTGCTGCAAGATGCAACCGCCACAGTACACAATAGTGACATGGAGGTTCGGAACCAGTGGGAGCTGCATGACACAGAAATTTGACACTCCCAGAAGTGTCGTGTCCCAGCACACTTCAGGGGATGACTCTTCAACAGAGCTTTGTTTAAGTGGTGGAGGCAGTAGGAAAGGTTAGTATTTGAAATCTTCATTTTGGGTAACATGTTTGTTTTGATATTTACAGTATATTGCCAACACATTCATTGTAATGCTAGACTGCAGCATTTATATAATTTGTAATTTTATACCATAGTTTAATTTTACTGTTTTTTTTATATTCTGCTTTATATTATTACAACGCAAAAGCAGCATGACGTATGCTTTAGCATAATTTAGGTAAAAGTCAGTGATATCCTGCTGCTGTCTGCCTGCATTGAATTTGCTGGAGGGCGTCCGGACTGCTCCATACATATGGACGTAGCATTTGGTTGACTAATTGATGGTAGTAAACTATGATCCATTAATTATTCAGTAAAGACTCTGCTGCATCTCTGAATGTAAACTGTTTTCTTAACTCCATATAAAAAGGTGCCTTTTACTCGCTATCTGGCTATGAATAAAATTAGCCGTATCAAACGCTACCAGATTGCTAAAGTTTACAGACGTGACAATCCAGCCCTGGGGCGCTACAGAGAATTTTATCAGTGTGTAAGTAACAGTATATTCTATTTTCTAAAATGGATCAATTTTAAAAACCGTGTGCTCTCAATTCTTTGCTGCTTAGCATTCAAACATTGTACAAAGTGCACAAACACTAAGCCACTCTGTCACACAGCCTGATTTCAATTGTGATCTCGGCATCAATTGGTGACCCAATATTAGGACTTATTTATATAACTCTTTAACAAAAGAGCTATTATATAACCAAATCGTAGCTAACAAGGGAAAAACTATCACTGTTCAATTGTCAGATTTATTTCCTCAAAAAGGTTTATGTATTAGGCCCACTGTAGTTAATTCTAGTTATATAATATCACTTTTGGGTGGACTGTCACTCAACAAGGGCAAATCTGCGCAAAAATATTAGATACAGTAGTTATACAGTAAGTGGCTTCTAGTATGCCAAATGAGCCTCTGGCTTCCTATGGGCCTTGGATACTGAAGCAGTGATATCTCCTTATTGCATTGACTGATTAGCTTGGTGTTTTGGGTGTTCCCACTCACCTATGTGTGCATTCTTAAAAGAAAAAAAATGTACTAAAAATCCAACAAGGAGAGTGGAATCATATCATAATGACAACAGCATATGTGCTGACACAGAACTTCAAGCTCAGAGATCTCATCAACAGAATTCCAAAAAATATACAGTCAGGTCCATAAATATTGGGACATCGACACAAATTCTAACATTTTTGGCTCTATACACCACCACAATGGATTTGAAATAAAACAAACAAGATGTGCTTTAACTGCAGACTGTCCACTTTAATTTGAGGGTATTTACATCCAAATCAGGTGAACGGTGTAGGAATTACAACAGTTTGCATTTGCCTCCCACTTGTTAAGGGACCAAAAGTAATGGGACAATTGGGCTTCAGCTGTTCCATGGCCAGGTGTGTGTTATTTCGTCATCCCAATTACAACGAGCAGATAAAAGGTCCAGAGTTTATTTCAAGTGTGCTATTTGCATTTGGAAATCTGTTGCTGTCAACTCTCAAGATGAGATCCAAAGAGCTGTCACTATCAGTGAAGCAAGCCATCATTAAGCTGAAAAAATCAAAACAAACCCATCAGAGAGATAGCGAAAACATTAGGCGTGGCCAAAACAACTGTTTGGAACATTCTTAAAAAGAATGAACGCACCGGTGAGCTCAGCAACACCAAAAGACCCGGAAGACCATGGAAAACAACTGTGGTGGATGACCAAAGAATTCTTTCCCTGGTGAAGAAAACACCCTTCACAACAGTTGGACAGATCAAGAACACTCTCCAGGAGGTAGGTGTATGTGTGTCAAAGTCAACAATCAAGAGAAGACTTCACCAGAGTGAATACAGAGGGTTCACCACAAGATGTAAACCATTGGTGAGCCTCAAAAACAGGTAGGCCAGATTAGAGTTTGCCAAACGATATCTAAAAAAGCCTTCACAGTTCTGGAACAACATCCTGTGGACAGATGAGACCAAGATCAACTTGTACCAGAGTGATGGGAAGAGAAGAGTATGGAGAAGGAAAGGAACTGCTCATGATCCTAAGCATACCACCTCATCAGTGAAGCATGGTGGTGGTAGTGTGATGGCGTGGGCATGTATGGCTGCCAATGGAACTGGTTCTCTTGTATTTATTGATGATGTGACTGCTGACAAAAGCAGCAGGATGAATTCTGAAGTGTTTTCAGGCAATATTATCTGCTCATATTCAGCCAAATGCTTCAGAACTTATTGGACGCCGCTTCACAGTGCAGATGGACAATGACCCAAAGCATACTGCAAAAGCAACCAAAGAGTTTTTTAAGGGAAAGAAGTGGAATGTTATGCAATGGCCAAGTCAATCACCTGACCTGCATCCGATTGAGCTTGCATTTCACTTGCTGAAGACAAAACTGAAGGGAAAATGTCCCAAGAACAAGCAGGAACTGAAGACAGTTGCAGTAGAGGCCTGGCAGAGCATCACCAGCGATGAAACCCAGCGTCTGGTGATGTCTATGCGTTCCAGACTTCAGGCTGTAATTGACTGCAAAGGATTTGCAACCAAGTATTAAAAAGTGAAAGTTTGATTTATGATTACTATTCTGTCCCATTACTTTTGGTCCCTTAACAAGTGGGAGGCACATATGCAAACTGTTGTAATTCCTACACCGTTCGCCTGATTTGGATGTAAATACCCTCAAATTAAAGCTGACAGTCTGCAATTAAAGCACATATTGTTCGTTTCATATCAAATCCATTGTGGTGGTGTATAGAGCCAAAAATGTTAGAATTGTGTCGATGTCCCAATATTTATGGACCTGACTGTATAAAGCATTTTTAACAGGTTTAAAGTAAAATATATTTTTTTTTCTTAATTAAAATAATAAACAGGTTTATAGTTACCTGTTATTGCACAGAAGAAAACAGGCAGAGGGCAAAGAATTAGTCATAAGTATTGCCTGTGGCCTCACTACAACTGATCTTTCTCCATTACTGACTTACCATACCTTGTTCTGTGTTGAGGTGGCCATATTGGTAGAGGCAGGGTTTTGCTTCCTTGTATCAAAGCCTTCAGAAAGGTGAACAGTGAGCATCACAGTAGTGGCATCTCAAAAGCTCACACCGCAAGTATACAGCTATGAGGCTGTATGCATAGGCATACTTAGGCTCATTCACAGATCATAAACCAGTCTCGGCACTAGCTCCTATACCTTTTACAATACAGGTGATAAATATGAAATCCTCTACATAAAATGAGGGCCATTACATAAATCAAAAGTCACTCGTAAAAATGGTGTACTCTGTTAAGATAACTTAAAGTGGTTCTAACGCCTAAACATTTTTTATCTTAATGCATTCCTTGCGTCATAGTAAAAAAAATGTTTAGGTAGTGGTATGCCCCCTCACCCCCCCCCCCCCACCCTTATACTTACCTGAGCCCTCACTCGATCCAATGCTGTGCCTGTCTGTAGGGGTTCTCCCCACTGTCACAGGCTTGGTTGAGAGCAGAGGGAGCCATTGGCTTCCTATTGTGGCACACAAAGAAAAGGAGAAGCCAGGAGCGTCATTGGGAGATCCCAGAAGAGAAGGTTTGGGGAAGCTCTTTGCAAATCCATCGCACAGAGCAGGTACGTTTAAACCTGGTTGTTATTAAAAAAATATTTAAAAAAATTTACAATAACTTTAAATTTAAAAGTCCCGAAATTATCCACCAAAATGTTCAACATGTACCACAACACTTGGAGGCTCACCAAAATGTGTTGACCTCTCGATCACTGGTTTGCCAAAAGGTGCTTTTCCCAAAGAGATGGATGTACCAGATCTACAGTATAATCCACCACCGCCTTCTCACTCACAAAATTATTGCAGATTTCCACTTCGCTTATTCTCCTTCTTAAAGAATGTTACTCCAACATTTCATATTCATGATATATGACTGTTGTACCATGTGCTTGTGTTAAAAAGTATCCTGTTCTCTTTGCATTCCTTCCTTTGTGGGAAATACCTGGTGATCCTTCCAGTCATACTGCTTTGCTATTTCAAGCTGACAATGGTGGGCTTGAGAGCACATCCATCCCAGCAAGGTCAGTTTTCTGGCTGTGATGGGAGCTAAGCCTGTCTGTCCTCTAATGATCAGACTTGTGCTGACATTCCCCCTGCACGGCCATTCGCTGGGAAGATCAGGGTACTGCTGTTTCTCCACCCCCAGCTTTCTAAGCCCCTTATGCAGCTGAGACTATTTGGTCACTCATTGAAAAAAAATGAAAGTATTTATTATTTTTATATATATTTTGTATGCACACACTTTTGCTTTTTTTTTTTCTACTTTAAACATAATGGGTTGTTTTACAAGGTAAGGGTTTACATACTTTAATTCTTTGGCTCAAATTCATGGTAAAAAGAAAAGGATATCTCCATAATCTTTGCAATACTAATCATAAACTCTGTTGGTATTATACTCAAAAATCTATTAATGCATTTCACATAGAAGACGTCCCAACAGTCCTTCCGTATGCACACCAGGACTTAATTTGCTTTAAATCAGGTGGAACTACTAACATACTAACACCAATACCAAAACATAAAAATGTATGGTGTAGTATATTAAATAAGTGTGGGTTCACTGATGTGCAGTGCAAATTGAAGCCTATTTTCACATCTAATTGACAAAGTAGTTGTTCAGCACTTCAGATCAGGTTTAGATCAGGATAAGGTCAGGATTTTATCCTGTGTACAACTGAATGACATGTGCGATTAATAAGCGTTCCTATAGAAGTCAGTGGGCTTGAATTCGCACCTGAGCCAGACTATACTACTCAGAAAACTGACAGGAATCTTTTTCAATTCGCACGGAATCCATATGTGATCAAGCACAATGTTCTTTCACATGTCATGCGAATTGGATGTGGTTCAAAATGCATCTAATTCACATGACTCTTATTGAGTATAGTGCAAAATTCAATTTGCATAATTTAATACATGGCTAAAGTGATATTACAGTAGCTCACCAGATTTGCATGACTCACCTAACAAGTAAGCGAGTAAAAAATTTACGTTCCACTATGTACTTTGTCTTTAAACCCACCAATCGTCTGTAAAAAGGCTCACCAGAAAAGATTGACTCTCTTCTTTTACAAAGTTAGTCATAAACACCTTAATACACACTGTGTAAGCAAGTCACCCAATGATAGTGTACACAGGAAGCTCACCAGAAGTTTTTGCCTCATTCTGTTACAAAGTGGGTCAAAAAGCGTGTTGTAATATCACTCTATCACTCTTTTTCATCAATATCAAACTCAACTGGGATAGAACTCTTCACTTTCTCAGGTTTACAGCAGGGTAGCACTCAAAATGAAGCAAAAGCATCTCCATAGCATAAAATCCTTAAAGGAAAAAAATGTTTTTAATAAATGAGTATTTCCCACATAAATTGTATTCCCCTTTAAAAATAGTATAAATTTTGTGGCACTTCCTTGTTTTCCAGGTGTCACCTCCGTTACATGTATGATGATGTCACTTCTGTTCGACGTGTTTTGCCATGTGACTTCTTTAGGATCCTGAAGAAGTCGTGACGAAACGCATCGTTGGAAGTGACATCATAACGCCTAATCTCTAGTCCCACTAATGGTTCACCATACATTTTTCTTTGAAGGTACTTTGCTTATAGACTTTTCCCCATCATATGTTAATTCTGCATTGCCCAGGTTTGGATTGGTTTACTTTACAGATGAAGTTTAATGTGTTTAAATTTTGCCTTCCCTGGTTTCTCCTTTCCTCTCTCATCAACATGCTAAGACATTTGATATAAGATCTCTCCAATTTCATTATATCCCTATTTTACACCCAGTGATGTCACCACTGGGCAGCTGTACTTTTCAATGCAAGGCAGGCAGATCATTGCTGGTGGGAGGGACAAACGGGGTGTTGTATATAGTGACCTGAAAGCATCATAGGACCCTGCTTCTGTGCTCTTTTCAAGAGCCTCCTGCCTTGATGCAAGCAGTGGGCTAGCTTTTAGGAGGGGCTATGCAAATATTAAAATCCCTTGTTGAGCAGCTGTCAGTTTAGAGGCAAGGTCGTTCTTAGGCAGGCAACATTTTTCTGCAAACTGACCTAGGTAATGCCCATATGTGATGCTGAGCCCCATGTGAGACACCTATACAATTGCGCAAGACCGAAGGTAAGGCTACAGTTCAACTTTAAAGGGTTAGTTCACCTTTACAGAAAGAAATGTAAAGATGAACTAACACTGAACACCTGTCTCATTCCCTCCGGGCCCTGCTGTACTTACCTCCAGTGATCCTGAGCTGTAGAGGCTCTCGCAGCCAGTCCAGCAGTCTGGTGATTTAAAATCTCCATCCCCATTCCATAATGGACCAGATGGACATGGACTGTGCGGGCCAGTCAGAATCCAGTTGGTCCATCCTGGAAACACTGATGGAAAATAAGAAAAGCAGCAGGGATTACAAATCCCCAGATCGCTGGCTCTGTTACAGGAGCCCTGACAGTTTAGGATTACTGGAGGGAGGTACAGCGGGGACTGGGGAGTGGGGTTGGGGAAGGTGTGTGGTGTTAGGTCACCTTCATATTTTATCTGATGAGGTGAACTAACACTTTAAGGAACATTGGTGGTTTCGCATGCAGTTGCAAAAGGTTCCAAAGTTGCAGCTTTACCTTTTAGAGAAAATAGCAGATACTGTAAGTCTGAGGCCTAGCTCAGCAGTTCTGGGGATGAGTTCATCTTAAAACTGTTCATTTGAAAATGCTGGAAAATGATAAATATTCTTACACATTTTCTGTTTCTGGAAAGCATTCTTCAGCTTTTATAAATAATATCACTTACAACATGCTGGCATTATGAAAACAATGTTTGCTGTGCTCTTTAAAATGTATGAGTTTTTAAATGTGACCCCATCTATCTTGCATGGCTTGGCCTGTCTCTATTGATCCCCCCCTATGCATATTCATGGCAGGACTTTGACATTGCTGGACACTATGACCCTATGATCCCTGATGCCGAGTGTCTGAAGATTATGTATGAGATCCTCAGTGAGCTGGAACTTGGAGAATTTCTCATTAAGGTAAGTGCTGATCTGAAACAAATAAAACTCACACTTAATGAAATGAACTAAAACCATATGTTTCTTTGCGTGATAGGCTGTAGTAGGTTTCGCACCTTCTGCTGTTTCCGTGGAATGTGTAATTGGTATTAAATAGAACTTTTCAGGAGTGCTCTGACACAGCATTTCGTTTAGTAAGTCTCATTATACTTCATTGCTCTCTGGAAATTCCCCCGTCTGTACAGGTGACATAATGCAATTTTCGTTGTCAGTAAGAACAAAAAAATGAAGACTTTCTATAATTTACATAAGGAAGTTCTTCCACAACTTTCAGGCTGTTTCTGTTAAATTTTGCTTTGCATAGTAAGCTTTTAAAGCTTTTTCTGTATAAGATTTTTAGTTTTATAGTAAACCTGATTTCTTTTTTAAACTTTTAAAATTTAAAATACTGTCTAAAAGCAGACCACATAAGATGTCCTCTGTTACCTTTATTAGCAAGACAATCTTAACAGTTGCCCCTTTTTGTCATTTAGTATTACTAGGATCCAACCTGGCAAACCAGGTAGTGTCTGCTCTGTGGTGGGACTTATTTAAAACCCAACCAAATGTCCATCTAAACATTTTTTCTTAGTATTTGATAGAGTGTGGAAGGCCCCCACCACCATCTCTGTCCTTAAATTATATTTTCCCATGTTTCTTGCCTGGTAGAACTGTTGTCACTGAGACTGAAAGTGAAGGTAAATCTCTCTAATGGAACACTGGATAGTAGTACAAACCTAACAAGGGTTCTAGTCCTTCCCCTTTCTATCCAAAGCAAAAAAAAATAGGTTTTATTTTGACATACACCTTGTGGTCTATGTATAAAAAAAAATTGCTGTGTGAATCTGTCAATCATTCACACAGGCTCCACAAATCGTCACCATAATTTTCTAAAGTGGTTTTTAAAGGCTTTCGGTTTCCAGGATTCCCTATAGCCCCCCCCCCCCCCCCCCCCCGTTTTACTTATATGAGCTTGATCTCAATACAGAGCTGTGCATGACAGCAGCGGCTCTCTTCACTCTTTCCCTTCTCACTGGGCAGATGGATAGCAGCAAGAGCTATTGGTTTCCACTGCTGTCAATCAAATTCTATGACAAAGGGGCAGGACTGAGCAGCGTTGTCTGTGTCTATAGATGCAGATAGGGCGGCTCAGGATTGAGCCTGTACAAGTGCCCCCATAGAAAGCAGCTGCTTATGGCGGCACTCACTGAAGAGTGAGGATTGCTGGTGGGGGACCCTAGAAGAGGAGGATTGGGGCTCCTCTGTGTAAAGCCATTGCACAGCACAGGTAAGTATAACATGTTTCTTATTTTTAACAAAAAAAGTCAGAAGGTTTACAGGTTCACTTTAAGAGTTTTATTTCCAAGGATCATTATCGCCATCCAATATCAATAGTGCAGAATTTTCCTGATTCAGACATTTCAGGAAAAAATATCACATCGATGCTACTAGATGGCACTGATGATCCTATGAAATAAACCTGTTAGAAGAATTATGGTGAAGATTTGTGGAGCCTGTTTCAATACGTGATTGATGTATTCGCAGAGCAAATTTAATAATACACGGATCCCTTTAAGTCCAATCACCAGGCAGCGAGTGTGGACTGTATTCCCTAACTTTGAGAAAGTAATGTTACCCTGCTGGCTATGGTGTCTGGCAAAAGTGTTTGAAAGCTTTGTAGGTCTGTCCAGCCATTTTTTTTTGTTTTACAGTTTCACTTTAATTATTCTCACACTGCTCAAAAAAGTTAAAGGAACACTTTGAAAACACATCAGATCTCAATGGGGAAAAAATATCATGCTGGGTATCTATACTGATATGGGCTGGGTAATGTGTTAGGAATGTAAGGATGCCCCATTGTTTGATGGAAATGGAAATTATCAACCTACAGAGGACTGAATTCAAAGACACCCCGAAAATCAAAGAGAAAAAATGATGCAGCAGGCTAGTCCATTTTGCTGCAATTTCATTGCAGCAACTCAAAATGGTACTCAGTAGTTTGTATGGCCCCCATGTGCTTGTATGCATTCCTGACAACATTGGAGTATGCTCCTAATGAGACGGTGTCCTGGGGTATTTCCTCCCAGAATCTGTACCAGGGCATCACTGAGCTCCTGTTTTATTGGTTTTAGGTCAGGTGAGCATGGGGGCCATTCAATAGTATCAATTCCTTCATCCTCCAGGAACTGCCTGCATACTCTAGCCACATGAGGCCAGGCATTGTCGTGCACCAGGAGGAACCCAGGACCCACTGAACCAGCGTAGGGTCTGACAATGGGTCCAAGGATTTCATCCCGATACCTAATGGTAGTCAGGGTGCCATTGTCTAGCCTGTGCATCCCTCCTTGGATATGCCTCCCCAGACCATCACTGACCTGCCACCAAAACAGTCATGTTGAACAATGTTACAGGCAGCATAATCTTCTTCATGGCTTCTCCAAACCCTTTCATGTCTGTCAAGTGCTCAGGGTGAACTTGCTCTCCTCTGTGAAAAGCACAGGGCACCAATGGCAAACCTGCCAATTCTGGTGTTCAATGGCAAATGTCACTCGAGCTCTATGGTGCCGGGCAGTGAGCACAGGGGCCACTAGAGGACCTCGGGCCACCCCCACAAAGTCTGTTTCTGATTGTTTGGTCAGAGACATTCACACCAGTGGCCTGCTGGAGGTCATTTTGTGGGGCTCTGCAAGTGCTCATCCTGTTCCTCCTTGCACAAAGGTCCTGGTCCTGCTGATTGGTTGAGGACCTTCTACCGCCCTGTCCAGCTCTCCTAGAGTAACTGTCTGTCTCCTGGAATATCCTCCATGCTCTTGAGACTGTGCTGGGAGACACAGCAAACCTTCTGGCAATGGCACGTATGGATGTGCCATCCTGGAGGAGTTGGACTGCCGTGCAATCTCTAGGGTATCGCCTCATGCTACCAGTAGTGACACTGACCCTAGCTAAATGCAAAACTAGTAAAAAACAGTCTTAAAAGATGAGTGGGGAAGAAAACGTCAGTGGCCTCCACCTGTAAAACTATTCCTGTTTTAGGGATCATTTCAATGTTGCCCATCTAGTGCACCTGTTGTTAATATCATTAACACCAAAGCAGCTGAAACTGGTTAACAACCCCCTCTGCTACTGAACTGACCAGATCAATATCCCAGGAGTTTAATTGACTTGATGCTATACTCTGATCAAATAGTGTTCCTTTAATTTTTTTGAGCAGTGTGTTACGGGTGCGGCGTCAGACCCCAGCCCTTCTCACCAAACTCGTGACCGAAGGACTAGCCAATCTAAAACTGCGCTGTCACATGTGTAACAATGCCACACCCAGCTGCATCCTGCACACCGATGTTACAGCTAATTGGACACGATCGACGGACCGGCAGCCTGAATGCGATTGTTACTGGATCAGGTTAATTACGCAATTAACCCTTCACACGGCCACCACCTCCGTTTTATACAGAGAAAGAGGAAACTCCGCAATACACTAGGATGATTGGTTAACTGTCAGTATCCCGCTATCTCTATAGACCGGTTATACAGAGAGTTAAATACTCATAGTAGCGTTCTTCAGCGGCAGGGACTCGTAAGTTACATTCAGGAGCTATAGAAACAGTTTAACACTTTTAGAAAGTAAGATTTATTACCAAAAGGTCGAAAGGGTGCAGTAAAAATATTTACAGAAAGAAGATGTAACCAATATATATAAATATACAGAGCACAACAGCACAGCAAACAGATAACAGAAGTTTAGGTAAATAAGTACTTGCCAAATAAATGCCTGGGGTTAAGCAGTTTCAAATCTGATGAGCTAAAAAGGGATTTCTGGTCTCGCACTGGGTTTCGTTGTTGCCGCAAGATTCTCCTTTTGCTTTCTGTCCGATAGATGTTATATCCAGGGCGGTCCTCACTTCTCTGACTACTCACACACAAAACTAACAGCTTCTTTTTTCTACACAACATCAACTAGTATCTTCACTACCTTATTTTGCAGAGGAATTGTTAGGCAGGGCTCAGCATCATACACTGCTTATATTCCTGAAGGAGGGGGAATGAGGAGATACATGAAGCCTTCTTAATACAGGGAGAGCCTGTGCCTGGCTCTTATATGCACGTTTCTACACCCCCCCTGTCAGGGACCACGGCTCCAGGGTCCGCGATCGCGGCTCCGTCCCTCGCGCGCATGCGCAGTGGCGGCGGCTCGCGCCGGGACACGGGGGCACTAGGTCCCGGCGAGCCGCAGATGACAGGACGCCGCGCATGCGCAGTAGGAGCCGCGGGCGCGCCTCAGGCGTCCAATGACAGCCGGGGGCGCGTCCTAGCCGGCCAATGACAGTGCAGGGCGCACTATTTAAAGATGCCCTGCACTGTCACAGATTGCCGCAAGGTCTTCTGTGATCCTGAGTTCCTGCACCTATCCTGTGACCCTGATTGACCCTGACTATTCTGCCTGCTCCTGCGTTTGACCCGGATTGTCCTGACTACTCTGCCTGCTCCTGCGTTTTGACCCAGATTGTCCTGACTATTCTGCCTGCTCCTGCGTTTGACCCGGATTGCCCTGACCATTCTACGGATTGACTTCCCTGCTGACCCTGCGTGTGACCCGGCTACTCTCGCCTACCGATTCTGTACCCCGCTTACCCCCACGGGCCCACTATCCGTTACTACCCTGCTGGGGCCGCCATCCTCTTCATATCTGGCTCTCCCGGTACCTGTCCCCAAGGGTCTCCTCAGCCACTGGCGGGCCTGCTCGGAGGTCGTGACCTGGCCCGGGACTGTTTCAAGTCCATCCCCACCATCAGGGGCTCTGGTGAAAGCACAGCCCGGGCTTAGACCCCACGCTCTGAGTAGGTCTGTCAGTTGGCAGCCTGAGGCACCACCTGGCGGATCATAACACCCCCACTCAGGTGATAGCATATGAGTTTAAGAGCAATACCAATATGTATAAGTTTGGGGCAAAATGGAGAACCGCACCTCTCCCTGTGGGCATGATT